GGCCGACGGACGCCCCGCCGCGACGCGCCACCAACATGCTCACCCGGGTCAAGTCCGCCGTGGCCGGGTTCATGGGTGGAATCATGGCCGGGGGCAGCTCCGGCGGAGGGGGCAACACTGGTTCCGAGCTGCCGATGAAATTCCCATATATGAGACCTCAGTTCCTTGGACTGTCCCTGGATGAGATCGAGTGCTCCGCGGACCACATAGCTCGGCCCATCCTCATCCTGAAGGAAACTAGGAGATTACCGTGGGCCACCGGATACGCTGAGTAAGTAACCCGACGGCAGCTGTTCACAAAGCGGCTCTTTTTGGAAAGTGGCATCACAGTTGCATTAAATACATAAAGCCTCTGAGTGTTGTGGAGGCCCCAAGTGCTTCCAGGTGATCACTGCTCCTTCTCGGGCAGGTATAGCTGGAAAGCACTGCACCTGTTGTTGTTGTTGGCCGACAGCCCTCTCCACCATGGCTTTGGATCCTTCCTTTTGCATTGCACTCACCCCACGCTTTGTGTCAAATTTATATTGCATGCTGCCAAATGGATGACAAGCCCAAACACATTTTTGACATGCAAGAGGATGATGCACCTTCCAGAGGCAGCAGCACATATGACTGGGTTTCTATTTTTGTCTGGCATGTTAATAGCCTGCAGATATACTGAACCAGTTGCAAAAAAAAAAAAGATGCAACCTCACATTCTGGCTCCAGACCGCTGACTGGTTTTAAATGCAGCTACGTTTGTTGCTGTCATTGCTGCCTCTGTCAGCATCTAGAAAGTACAGCAGAGAACCATCTGTGCTCTTGTAGTCATGTCACATTTTACATAGCAGTTTGCGCAGACACTCCTCCACAAGTCTTATATAAAAGCTTTGAGGAACCCAGGATGCTGAGGTTTGCTGCTGAGAAAGGAGCACAAACTCAAATTGTTACACAGAGTAAATGCCAGCAGTCAGTTTCTGAGCGAGTGTGTCTTCTGTTATTAGTTCACCACTATTGTACACAGCAGACATCCCATTGTGTGTGTCTGTTTCATTCTTTTGAATGAACAGTATCTCAGAAACAATATCTGACAGACACATTAAACCCCCCGACACAGCTTCCTCCTGACACAGAATACATGATATGATGACATTCACACATTTGTATAACACTGAGGAAAAGATGTCAAAATAAAAGCCATCAAAAGTCTTTTAGCGACAGTCAGTCTCACTTGATCAGCTGTGCATCCGCTATGTTTGTTTGCACCCTCTCTCCAACCCCACCCTGGCATCAGTAATGTGTGTGGTTTACATTTCACAGTAAGATAATCTGGAGTAGTTACCAAGGAACAAATCTAAGAACAGGATGCCACTGGAGAAACTGTGCTAGAATCACTGATACTATTAATAAACCATTGTCTGATATCTGTGAATCTACCTCCTTTATGTCCCTAGTACATATATATCATTATAGTTGTGCCTTCTTAAGCAAGGTGGTGCATCATACTGAATTGCTAGTAGAAATGCGTCATACCGACACATGCCATTTCTGTGCCTAATAGTGCAGATTATAATTGGAATATTCCAACATATTTCTCTCTCTCTCTTTAACACACACATACAGAGTAACCACTGATACTCAGAGCAGGCGTGCGGTGTCTCTATGGGACCGGTGTGGTTAATGAGTTCAGCTCGTGTCAGCATTTATCTGTAATTAAAGCCTTCCATGTTGTCATTACAGCAGCCATGTTGGCTCTTTTCCAGATTTGTTTTTGGAATAAAGGTAAATCCGAGACAGTTTAAAGTCATTTAGTCAAATCTTTAGTCGCAGTGCTCATAATTCAACGTTCACTAAACGCCTTCATGAACTGCGATTGTCCAATCATAGCTTAGCAGCAGTAACTAGCCAGTATAGCATTGTGTATGAGCTGGTCCTGGATGCACTACTTTATGGTTAAGAGGAACGCTAGCAGCTTGTTACCTTAAATAGCATTATGTTCATTAAACACCTTTTTTCTCTTTATAACAGTAAAATGCTTGAAAATCAATCAATCACTTGTCCCAGTATTTAAGCTTATAATAGCTTGAATGAAACAATAGTCTGATACTTACAACTTATCATTATTGTGCTTATATTTACTAGGACTATAGGACTAGCTCTGCACTGCAATACAAGAATTTTAATATCTTCTACAGTATTTGGATCAAAAACTGGTCAGGATTCTGACTTTTTGTCTGGAATGCGCAGCTTTAACCTCAGTCTTTCAGCATGATATCGTGTTTGCAGCCATAAAGTGCTTACTCTTTGACAGTGTTCTCGTTTAAGTCGAGTCAAGTGGAATCATTAGTTTAATTAGCTAGTTAGCTACAGCTAATGAAATCAGCCAGCGACAAGAGTTGTTTTTCAGCCGGTAAATTTGATGATCGCAGGCTAGAAACGAGAGGCTGCTTTTGTGTACCTGTCTGAAACCAAGGACCCATTGTTTCAAACATAGATTTTCCACCGTTATAGTTTTTAGTCTGACTACAGGCTACATATTGAAGGATATATCAAAACCCATCAATTGCTACATCCCATATACACACAATTTTACAGTTGTATTTGTCTTTGCTCATATATTAAGGTGGTATTGCAATCATGACCAAACCCCTCAAGAAAAACTACTAAATCTGGACTTTCTGGAAGGCTGTTTTAGTATTTAACTTGTAGCTCTTTTTCTGTTATTGCTCCTTTGATGAGTTAAACAGAGGCAAAGCTATAAACCATTGTGCTTCGCCAAATAATTATCTCATCCTCGGGGCCAATGTCTGGCCCAGAATCTGTTGCCGAGGGAAGAGAAACAAAGGGGGCATTAAATGTTTGACAATGGAGGGGGAAATTAGGTTTTGTTCCTAATGGGAGGAAAGCTAATTGTTCAGAATGGAACAAAAATTTGATTGGCAGGGAAACAAAATGACTATTATTCTTCCTACATATGGCAAAATCAGGACAAATTAGATGCAAGAGTACTTTGAACCATACACAGCAGCAGCTGCACCTACCATGAATTAGCACAGAGCGATGCACTATTGATTTAACCTATTAAATGCACTACAGTCATGAAGGATGATTGTTTTTGCTAGAGAGCAACCATCAGAGTTGTAAAACCAGCAGGACATGATCATACCACACACACACACACACACACACACACACACACACACACACAGGTCATCACATTACTGTGTTTGTTGACAGCAGATTACACAGAGCAGACAGACTTCCTGGACTTATGTGTATCAACAAGCTCAAAAGCGGTCGATGCGTCAGAGTGTTTTATGACCGAGGGCATTTTCTACTGTAATTGTGGGTGCAGTGGTAACATATATTAGGTTTGAAAGCAGAGCTGAGTAATCAGTGGGAAGCCCAGCCCTCTGCAAGTAATTGATTTTGTAATGCATGCATGGTGAATGACATATTAAAACCAAAGTAGGGTCAGTTTCAGCTCAGCTCAGAAGATTCCTACAGTTCGACAATACTAGCGAGACTAATGACTAATAGTCTGAATGTAGTAATAACAAGAATCTTTATGATTGATGAAGATTATGAAGAAGACTGAGTCATTCTTTCCGTACCCTTCCTCAACGGTCCCCTTCTCTTTCTTGAAACCCGGAGAGTATTGTCATCATCTTCTTCATGTTC